AAGATAAATAAAGCTCAATAACTGGCTAAGAGAGACTAAAAAGCTGTCAAAAGGGATCGTTCTGTCAGCGATAGCAATTGGCGCGCCGCGAAAGCCCTAATTAAGGATTGTAAAGCCTCTCCACTCACAATCAAGCGTTAGCATTTATATAAAAAGGACAGCTCAATGAAAAGCAAAGGACAATGCAACAAAAATTAAACAGTGCAATACTTAATGTGCACAAAAGAGGATGAATCTACTCTCCGAAGGTGGCGTGTTTCGCAGCTCCGCTGACGAGAACTCTTTGAGAACAAAAGATTAGCTTATCTCGACAGTAAGTAATTTAAATGCTGTGTGCTGTACCAAATGATATTCGTGTTTATGTGCTTCTTATTTTGTTTATCCTGGTCTTAACATAACACTTTAACGGTTTAAAACGCGATATATATGTTAAACTTATTTGAAAATGATTTTTAACTCCGGCCCGACGTTTCTTTCAAAGCGTCCCAAGCAAAATTCATAGATTTTGATCAAAATGCAGATATACCATTTCACGTTGTTTCATTTATGACGGAGATAATTTTACCACTAAATATATATTTTTTTGAGAAAAACTCTGACGTGCTTAAGAAGAAATATGAATGCATTTTAAAAATATGATCGACCCGATGAGATCGATGATGTATACATTGCTAACATTGATAATTAGTTACAATAACACAATAAAATAACAATTTTAATTTGGAAATATATCGTAATCATTTTTCTCTTTACTGTGTAATACATAAGTACGTAAAGATTACTTCGAAAGCACGACCTACTTTTATTTCATCATTTATAGTAAGTTGTATAAATTACAACTACGTCTGCGTAAATTCAGTATTGTAAAGTCATTTTAATATTGTAATAAGAAATTAAATATACAGTTATGAACTCCAGTTTAAAATTGATTAAGTTTTAATGTTTTTTTTTTATTTATAAATCTTTGTTTATTTATTTTTTCTTTTATTAACAATGTTGCGTTACCGTATTATGCGTTATTTTTCAAATCGCTTCCGCTTATGAATCGATACTAGGATCCCTGACTCAGCGGCCTTGGCGCAGTCTAATCGCGGCCTCAACCAATCAGTAAGCAACTCACGTGTACTATGTCTTCTGTATATGCTGTGCTATTTTGACAATAAATTATACTTTATATCTTCTAAGCGAGGAAACATAGTATAATTATTATTTCTTTATATGGTTAATTAAGATTGATTAGAACACACACAATATTTACAATTTAATAAAAAATCAATACGTAGTTAATAAATAGGTGTAGTAATACCTTATATTAATATGCGAAATAGCAGTTTGTCTATAGTGTACGCGAGTAGTACACATTTAAATAAAACACTTTAAACGGTTTAAAACGCAATATATAATAGTTAACTAATTTTTAAACTTATTTGAACTACCGTACATGCGTTCTATCTGACACTTTACAGCAGTCGTGGTGCCTCCTTATCCACACAAACATAGATAAAATAAAATGAAATAAGTTATCTAAATATATTGAGTTTTTAACCGGTATAATAGTATTTTATTTAAATAGAAATTTGTAAACATATTCACCAATGAGACTGCCGTTTATTACATGGATCAGACACATAACTGTGTCTATTTTACTCATCAATTAATTTATAAGATCACACACACACACAGACACAGTTGGGCCGTAGAGAAACGAACCCCAGTGTCACAGAATAATTTCCTAGAGTCAAAATATATCTTCAAAATTAACACGAATATTAACTTCCGGATCAAATTAAGTTCAAAAGTCGAGGTGGTCGTATTTTTCGATTATTGGCAAATCTGTATTGACATTTCTCGATATGGCAACATCCTTGACTTTTGACCACTTCCGAATGTAATACAGTTTTTTAATTTTAACATTCAATATTCTTGAATTTAATACTTTGTATTTCAAAGCTTATTCTGTAGGATTATATTTGTTACTGCATTTTTCTTAGTGTCAAAACAGGAAAGGTTCGGCTATATAGGTAATATTATCTAGGTTTGATTTGGTTTTTACCTTATAAAAACCATTGCCTTTTAACGATGAATTTATTAATGTAGCTTAAATTAATCAAGGAGAAACAAAAACATTATTTATACATCTATTTAAAAATTCTAATTGTATAATAAACATCTACTTATTTACATTGAAAAAAAAAATACGATTTGGTCGGGACTTGAACCGGTAAGTTTTTCTATTAGGTACCTACCTATTTGATAGATTTTTAATTATATAACGCCATCATGTTCCTAACGACCGCCTCTGTGGCCAAATGGTTAAACGTATTGCCTAGCATTGCGTTATGCGCGGGAGGTCCTAGGTTCGAATCCCTGGTGAACAAAAAAAAGTTGTTCCGGTCGGGCACAGAAGTCTGTTCAACGATTTGCCAGTTAAAAAGAACGGATTAGTGAAGCGGACACAGAAATGTGTTCGCCCCACGCCATACGTGGGGGCACGGGATTTCACTTCATCATGTACTAGGAATTATTAAAGCTTTTTACTCCATAGAAATATTATTTTGATAAATTGTAAAACTTTATCTCATATTAAATCCTGCGGGTAGATTCCTAATATGGGATAGAAGAATAAAAGCTTAAGAATCCGCGTATCGCTTTCCAACTATGAATTTCCGAATGTCCGAAGCCAAAATAGGTTGACAACGTTTTGATTAAATGTAACACAGATGGCGCAATCCTTGTCTCTCCTGCTCTGTCACTAACACCTGCTTAGTATTTTACCCAGACCGCAAATAGACCGACGAAATCATAACTCTTCTCTTTCGCTTCGTCGTCGGGTACAATCCGACCAACCGTTATCGACATCTGACAGCCATTAACAAGAAAACACAGTTAAAACGTGAAATGTTCATACCTATGAAGACTCACGTGAAGTGTAATTATTTTTTTTATTACACCATAGAGGTTCGTTGGCACCGCGCTAATTATAATATTGAGCTGTGGGCGTCTTGCTTCAGTTACTTCCTAATGATCGTAGTTTCATTCTGTTTTGCATTCGTTTTCGACTGCTAAATCCATCAATCCGTGACTGTTTGTGTATTACGGCGATGGGCATTCGTTTCTGCCCGCTGTCCCACAGTTGGGCACATTTCTCTTCTCCCATAGATAGAATTGTTCTAAGACAGATTGAAAATGTTTTAACGGGCTCGTTGGTGTAACTATATATGGCTTATAATAAACTCGTGAGTTCGATCTCCATCGAGTTCCACGTTGTTCTTATAATATTTTTTTTTGTAATACAAAGACTTCGCCTGAAAATCTGATCCACGAACAGATGAAAAACTGTCAAATTTAATCGTTTCGATTTGAGTCTGTGGATTTCGTAATATCCAAAGCCAAAATAGTTCGACAGCGTATTTAGTTTACTTACCTAGTTGTTACATGGCTAGGGCATTTATCTACCATCAACCCTACTACTACTACATCATAAAAAAATATACGGACATAGTATATAATTACATAGATAAGTAACTTAAATAATAACGTTTTTTTTCCTTTTTATTATAAGAATTAAGTTTGACGTACACATTTACACATACATTTCCGAATGCGTGTTAAGACGAATATTTATTTCAATTACGCCTAATACAATATTTAAAAACGAATTAAACACAAAATTAATTAAACTCCTACATTCCAGGGGTAACCAACCTAATCGCTCACGCGCAGCTGCGTTATTACCTTTTTGCAAACATAGATGGCGCTGATGGCATTTACCGTGGACATAACGTAGGAAATATTGTAATTGATCTGTAATCGTCATATCACCTGCTTGATGCTTCTATGTGATTATGTACCAGCCTATAGCGTTACTTTAGACGTTACCTCATTTCAAACATTTAGTATTACCGAGGCAAGGTGTCGGCGAGGGCCATTAACTTAACAATCTAACTTAATAGGGTATAAAAGTGATATCTATGAGATAATAATACATTGCTCATAAATATAGATTATTTGTGAAAATGTGTTAACTCAAGATATGTATAATATTATAAAATGCACTTACCGAATATAAATCTATACTAATATATAAAGCTGAAGAGTTTGTTTGTTTGAACGCGCTAATCTCAGGAACTACGTTTTATGTTGGTTAGAACATATATAGAGGAAGGTTATAAAACATCGTGTTGCGACTAATAGGAGCGCAGAAATAGCGAGAAATGTGGATAGAACGGAGAAAAATATTATTCTCTGTGAGTTTCCGCTATCCTGCGAAAACGTTTAGATTACAAGATACACAAACAATAGGTATGTTGTAAAGAATGATGCCTATTTAAACGTTCCAAAAAAAAACAAAAAATTATATTTTTCTCTTTTAAGATTAACATGCAAGTAAGACGTAACAGTCTGAATTTATAAAGATGAAGAGGTTTGCAGAAACAAATTTGGATGCCCATTGTTACTATTCTATGCGGACGAAGTCGCGTCTACAGCTAGTGTATAATACTTTGAATGTAAATATTTTCAAATACAAATTCTTTTAAATAACATGACTCCGATCTACAATCTTTATTTACATACAACCATTAAAAAGCAATTATGTAGAATCTTGTCAAGCGTAATAAATTATTTTTAAATTTTAGTAAGCAACTTAATACTTTTTAAGTGTTTGAATAAAACACTTTAACGGTTTAAAACGCGATATATTAGTTAAACTTATTTGAAAATTATTTTTAACCTCGGCCCGACGTTTCGGATGCTTTGCAGCAGCCGTGGTCACGGGGAGACTAAGTATTTACTTTTTAAACGGTTAAATTTTGACGTGAAATATTCATTACAATGTCGGCAATTCGTGCTATTCAGTAGGTATACAGTTGATTTGTAACTGTGATAAATATTTACTTTGTTGTAAAGGCTACATTTAATTTAGGTCATTTATTTTTTAAGATAACAATCTTAATAAGTTCTATGAAGAAAAATATTGGCAAACACATTTTATACGAAATATGACACCGGCGGGCCTCAAACCCGTGGCATTTCGTATGTAATAGTTTCAATTAAACATCTAATCACCTAAGTTAAATGTCAGCCATTATTTTAGCCTTTATATTATATGAGGTATTGTTAAAGGCTCTATTTTTCGAAATAATATAATATTATGCATTTGTTTAATATATAAACATAGAGGAGGATATACAAGTAAGGGGCTCACGTGATGGAAGACGCGATGTGGATGCGCCGTCGTCCTATTTTGTGTTTACCGAAACGCGATTAAACGCGGAAGCAATGTCGATTCTCCTATTTAAAGTTGGAGATTTTTTTAAATACCAGCTGCAGAAGCAAAAAAGTGTTATCGCCCACTGTATGCTGTAATTAGCTGTTGTATCTTTGTATAGTTAGCGTTGAAGCTCACCAACGCGGATCTGACTAGCGTAGTGGGCCTCTACATCCCCTTTGAGATGGTTTTCAGCCGTGGGATATTGATTGAAACGGTTTGATTTGGAATAAGTAGTAATATGGCGTCATTGATATCTTAATTATTATCGTAATATGCGCCTTGACCGTTGCTATCACAAACCAAACGTACTATGCCATCTCGTTGTCAATATGTTGAATAATAAGGAAATTAAATACTTAGTTATTAAACTTTTATACGTTACTCTTAAAATATACTGAGTTTTATTTTGTTTATCCTCAGTAAACATAGGTTAGCAGCATTATATGTTACTTGCTGTAGAATGGTTTATTAATATATTTTTAAAACAATCTCCTATGTCGTTCCGTCGTTCTTGCGAGTTAACGTTGAAAAACATACTGCTGGTTAATTTTAAAAATAATTTAAAAAATAGTTATTTCATCGTACTTATTTTTGGTTTCGTAAACCGTTTATCAGCAGCTTCTTCAGTTTTTTCCACTTCTCCCTGTTTCTTCGCTCCTATGACACAGCTTGATGTTTTTGGCCTAATTTTTTTATTTTAAAGGTCTACAAAACTAAGCTTTAATATATAGATATGGTATAAATGGCTTTATACAAGTAAAAAATCTTTAAAATTAAGCTTTTAAATTCGAACCAGTACTTCCTGAGATTAGCGTGTTCAAACAAGCTCTTCATCTTTATAATAGGAGTATAGCTGTAATATGCAGTAAATTTTAAAAAATTGTAAACAGATTGAGATACATAGATGCCTAAGATATTCCTAGAGGATCTAGTATTTTTTATTAGTTATCCCATACTAAATGAATAATCGGTTATAATTTTGAACTCGCATATAATATTATGTACTGTTTACACGTGGTGAAGTTTATTTTTTGTGTAAAATATCTTAAACTATATTGTCTTATTGCAGGTCTAGAACGGGTGGCAGAGGAGTTGATGGGTCGAAGAAAATGGAAATTGTATCAAGATGCATTGATACCAAAGCGATCAGAAGGCGAACAGTCAAGCGGAGACGAGTCCATGGCTGCCACAGACCACCCTCCCGCGCTCAAGATAAAGACCATCCAGCAGATCAACGAAGCGGACGAGGGCGAAGAACCCGTCAGAAAGGTATATTGGATTGGATACTAGCTGTGCGGTGGCTTCGTCCGCGTAGAATAGTTATTTTGGGGTATCAAAGTTTGTTTTTGTAAACCTCCCCTTCGTCTTTATAATGGTTTCCGAATATCCAAAGCCAAAATAAGTCGATAGCGCATCTTCTTTAGACGCTGGGGTACTTCATCAAAACACTACTTATCTGTGATATGTAGTCTGTGAAGTTTTGTTTAGTCTGTGACGTGTTACTGACAGTTTGTATAATCTGTAAAAATTATATGTGGGATAAACATGCAACGTCGTTACAGAATAAAAATCAGTGTTGCTAAAACCTGGAGAAGAAATATCTGACGCATTTAAAATATTTTTAACGGACTTGCTTTTCATTTCGTTTTAGAAATTTCCTTGTAACTTTATAACTATTTTAAAAGCTAACAAACTTTGTTGTATGTTTTTACTACCCACGTTACACGTTAGCTAATGTTAAACATAGTTTTCTTTAAATCGATAAAATTAGACGAATATTTTGTACTCCTTACCCTATTGGTAGAACAACAGCACGGTATGCTGTGGTCGTCTATTGTTAAAGTTTATGCTATATTATATTTGATATAAATATTTAGTCTATGTTAAATTTAAGTTTGCCTATTTTGGTAATGTACAAGAGATCCCAGGTGTAATCTAAACCGTTATTTCCAGGACTCGATCCTCGAAAGCCTAATAAAGAGGCCCGCTACAGCGCCCAAGCTGGAGCCCCAAGAACCAGCAGATTGGAAGCCAGCGGACAAGTGCTACTTCTGCGTGGACGAGCGTGGCGAAAGGGCGGACAGGGCGGAAGGGGCGGACGCTAGGGCGGGCGGCGCGAACGTGAGTACCGCCTTTGGAATTTTGGCAAAGCGCCCGCGATAGCTAGGCTTTTTCATTGCACCTTGATTGATGCTCGATGGCTCGGCTCGTTTTCGGCTGACCTCGATTCGTGACCTCCGACGGGCTCGTCGGGTCGTGGGTCCGATTCCCATCAGCATGAAATTTAGCAACTGGTTGCCAACTTTAGCAACATATAGCTTTTTCCAGATTATTTTTTAATTAAACCTCCCTCTGTCTAAGCCTAAAAAAGTTTATATGTACATATATCTAAGTTGTTTTTTCAAAATGCCCCGAAAACGTTATACAATTTTGAAATTAAGATTCACTCTTTTCATTACCCAATGCTCTAAATAAAAGGCCGACAGCACATTTATAATTGAGCCTCAAGTTAGGTTATTTAAACTTTATCAAATGAGGTGCTTCTCGTCTCTTAACATAAAATATTGATACGTGTGTCTTAGTAAGGGAAATACGCAGATACATATCTGTGGCCGTTTTGGTACAAACAGGCAAGTAGGTCATTAATCTGTGCTCCTTTCCATGTTTCTTCAGAATCCGAACCCGAAATCCTTCACGTCATATCTTCGTTCATATGTTGTATTTATTAAAAAGTATTAAAACACTCCAGCTCTCTCCACATAAGCTCCTCTTAATCTAATAAGTAATCATTTTATTTTCGTAATAATATTATTTTGTATAATAGGAATCCAAATAAACACACTTTTTTGTAATATGAACATAAAATCCCGTCTATTTTATACAAAATTTAATTTTAAATACCCCAAAAACTTTTTGGTTATCTGTGTATACGCAAAGCCTTATTTGTTTTTCTAGATTCTTATTTATTAAGTATTAATTTATTAATTTTACCTACTGAAGTGGTAAACACGACCTTAAATAAAATATATTTCAAAGCTGTGTCTACACATAATTTTAAAACTTTTAAAAGAAACACTTTAACTGTTTAAAACGCGAATGTTATATGTTAACTTATTTACAATTTATTTTAACTGTAATCTGACGTTTCTGATTCGGGTTATACTTAGTTAAATAAACTGTTAAAAACTTGATTAATATGTTTCTCGTGTGTAACCGTTAAAAGTGTTTCTTTTGAACGTGTACTTTTTGCGTAAACTACAGACAATACTTAATTTTAAGACTGTAAGTAGCCGCATTTTTATTTGACATATTTATTGTTATTGAGTTGAAAGTAGGTATATTATTTTCATTTAGCGTGGAATTTCAGTTAAAGTTAAAATTATTGTAGGAATTTCTTCTTTTGTCTTTAAGATATGCGATGCACCCCGCCATTTCGCCACCCTTACAATGTTGCCACAATAAAAAATTAACATACGCGCATTAACTTCATTCTTGGGAAGCTTTTTAGATTACTAAGCAACAAGTATTAATTTTCTTTTTTCCTATTTCAGCAACATTTCTAAACAACCCATTGTCTAAATGTTTTCATTCAATGAAGTTTTCTAGCGAGGAACGCCGCAGGCCTGCGCACTTAATACGGGGTAGGAATTTTTGAAACAAAAGGGAGAAAAAATGGAAGAATGCAAAAAAAATTGTTTTAGCTCAAACAAAACACGTGAAATATATAACAAAACTTTTGTTCTGAATTGTTTAGTGGTTAGAGATGTAAGTTCAGATAATTGTTATGCGGATAAGACTAGAATAGTTCGTGAGTACATGATAATAATACTCGTTATAGGAATTTTATCAAAGTTACTAATAAACACCATGTACAAAAATATTACAATTACGTCACTATACACTACCTCACAACCGGCATAGATACAATAACTTAATACAAATTTAAGATACACATTATATGCTTTTAAATAAAACACTTTAACGGTTTAAAACGGGATATATTAGTTAAACTTATTTGAAAATGATTTTTAACTTCGGCCCGACGTTTCGGATGCCTTGTAGCAGCCGTGACCCCGTGACGTTAAAGTGTTTTATTTAAATATGTACTACTCGCGTAAACTATAGACAGTATCACATTATATGCTTTTCATTTTCTTGAAGGCTTAAAAAAAAAATGACTGTTAGTACTGAACTTAACTGTACCTTTCATGTAGTCAAAATTCCAACTGACAAACAAACATTACAAATTTGGACTTCACGCGATGTCTTCCTAGCCAATAGACACTTATAATTGTTATTTTCACACATAGTATACCAAAAGACACGATAAACAAAGTCAAACTCAAAATCTACTACGAGACAATTATGTAAGTAAGAAGAAAAAACAAAAGAATGAGATGGGCGAACGTCTTACTACTGACGATTACAAACATTTTTATATTGGAATTGGATGATACCATAAGATATAAATATACCAAGCCTTGGATGTTGAATTAAAGAATTCCATGATTCAGAAAAATTCTTATATTTTCAATCAATACCTGATGAGTCAAAATGATAATTGCGCCCTTGGCCTTTGTTTCTCGTGTTAAATCATGATAATGATTGTATCATCAAACAATAATTCTACACAGAACAATAACTATTGTAGTTTTGAGGTCATAGATTTTTGATATGCATTAGATTGGGTAAGGCTAGCAAGGACACTGATGTAAAAACATTGATAAGAACTAATAGCGTTATTCAATAAAATATCTTGAAAAAATAATAAATAAAGACTCACGGTATATTGGATCCTTTTATGATTCTTATTTGCATTTTTACAACGCTATAAAAAAACATAAGACGTGCATTTTTTTTTTAATTTAGCATGAATAAGTCGAAATGAAAAATTCTTAAGACTCTTATTTTTAATATTTTACTACGTTATGTACCTTTTATATTTTCTCCAAAATTATAATCGATAAGAGAGAAGACAGAAAGAAAAAAATACATTTGGTTTTTTATTATTATCAATAGTTTAACAATAAAAAACTTTATTTAAAGTTATTTATGTCAATAAATCATCAAAAATTTCAATTCAAAGTGGGTAACATTTTTCATGTTTTTCCAAGAACAAATTTTCATTGTCCTCGTTTGTTTCACACCATCAAGAACTAATTATTTTTAAAAAGTAAAAAAATAAATGAGTTTAATCCGTTAAAAGGACTTTTAACGGATTAAAACGTGAAATATATAAATTAACTTTTGAATAGTCCCCCCGTTAGTAAATAATAATTTAACTAATGTAATTCTCGTTTTAAACAGTCAGAAGAACTTTATTTAAATGTTAAAATGTCAACTTGTTTGAAAACGAGTGTTTTTTTGTTTTTGTTTTTTGCGATTTGTATCGTAGTTTGATTGTAGGAAAGGTTTTTTTCGAATCACCTTAAAAAGCCCAGTGTGATTTTAACGATTGCATAAATAATGTTATATCTAGACTTTTTGATCTTATTTATTGTTACGACATATAACATACAATTCGGTCACGAACTATGGGAAATACCACGCGATATTTTTTTTTTAATTTATGCGTAACCGGACTCAAAACAGTTCGTATATCAAACGATAATAGGTACAAGCGTAGGACAAATAAAAAAACATAAGTTTGTGCTAAATAGCTTAATAGCACGCTTTTAAGCTCTCGAGAGTTCAAGCTTGTTGAATATTTAAGTTTAATTAACTAAAGCATCCGATAAGATTTTCATGAAAAACATTATATCTTGTAAAAATATTTTTTTGAGGAGTTATTGATTTTTGAAGTTAGGAACTTAGATACTAGAGTTGGCTGTTTGTTAGAGTAATAGAATGGTTTTCTGTGGTCGTAGATTCAAGTCACGTCTAATATTTTACAAACTTGAATAATTTTTTACCAACATATTGGACTTGTAATTGTTCGAATAACACAGCTATTAAGTAAAATCAATAACTAAAAAAGGATTTATTTATAAATCAAATTTAAAAAGTGCTTACCTATAATTATATGATTATTTATTTGAACATGATATTCGTACAGTAGGCAAATATATTTTTTATACAACTCGATTAATATATATCGCGTTTTAAACCGTTAAAGTGTCTATTTAAATTGGTTTAATGCAATGAAAATATTAAGAATAGTGGTTAGCTATTATTTACGATTGAAATTTTTACGACGCTAACTAATGTAAACTTGTTTATTTTAATTAAAACTTTGCATAACAGGGAAGTAAGCGGACGTTAAAAATATATTTTTATATTTATGAGTTTATCATTTGTTCCTATATAAATGTTATAAGAATTACTTCACCTTTTTTAACAGATATCGAATTAAATTTGATGCCAAGAAAATGTATCCATTAAGGCAATTAACTTACCATAAAAAAATCTCACCTTTCAATGCTCTATTAAGAAATGTGTGTTTGTTTATGTGTTTGAAACACTGGTCGAAAATATATGATTGATAAAAAGATTTAACTAAAACACTAACGGCTTAAAACACGATAATTATTATTTATATGGGGCAGTTAGCCGTAGTTAAAATAATTTTACCTAATATATGTCACGTTTTAAACCGTTAGTGTTTTATCGGGTAAACTAGGAATAAAGATTCCTGGGTTCATTTTGGTGAACCAAATCTAGTTTTTATATTAAGTATTAAGTTTAAACTCTAAGTTTTGTTTTTGAAGCAACCGTGTTAAAAACAAATTGACGTATATATTTATCGTTTTAAATTAATTATTAAATTAATTATTAAGTTAATAATAGAATTATTTCTTTTTCTTTACAAGTTTTTGTTGAACAGAAAAGTTTAATCACTTGGAAAGTTTTTAATGACACTTTTATTTGTTTGGAGTTCATACTATGCCTCCAAATACTCCTATGTTCGTACTATGAACATTTGCCTAGCATTACATTCAGGGAGGTCCCGGATTCGATCAGGGGAAACAATGAATTATTTCTGTAAGGCAAAGTCAGATCAATTATTCTATTAATTCCTATATATATATTTTATTTAAAGGCATTTAACATTTATCAGTGAAACGGATACAAAAATGTGTTCGCTCCATACCCCATAGAGACAAAGGGTATTTCACAGCGAC